TTCCAGTCTCTTTTCAATTGAAAATTGAATCCATATATCGTATTTCATGAACTTTTATAGTAAAACTTGGGGGTTATTTTGTTCTTGGATTATTCATTAGATTAGTCTATGGATCTGAAGTTATCATTTTTTTCCTTCTATGCCTCAAAAGTAATTTAATAATCTAAGAAATTTGGATTATAATTGACGTTTGGTGAAAATAAAGTGGAATTTCAATGATTATCCCATCCCCACTAGAGTTGTAGAACTAAAATTATCGATCAGTTGAAGCTTTGATCTCAGCTCCGTTGTAAGAACCAAAGCATTTGGATTAGAAGTTTTTGCTAAGTAGTTAATAGGGAATAGGGAATTATCTTATATCTCATGTATGCATTTTGTTTTTGTTTTCTGAATTTATATCTTAAATGGATCTGGTATTGTTTCTTGGTTTGGGAACTATGCTGTTTGCAGGATTTTTCTTTATTTTAAAATTGTGTATTCTTTGTAGGCTCAATATAAAGTTAAATTGGTTTTGGAACAAACATAAGTTGGGTTGCATTTGCAGATGCTGGAACTTATGCATTGAAGAAAGTTCTCTTTCAGAATAATGAGCAGCTGGATTTGGTTCGAGAGGAGATCCGTGTTTCATCCTTGTTTAGCCACCCTAATCTGCTTCCGCTTCTTGATCACGCTATCATTTCTGTTAAGGTAATTATGCACATCCCCTATTTTAATTAATATTAAAAGCAGTTACATGCATCTTAAATGTTTCTGAAATTTGTTGACTCATTTACCCATAAGATTGGTGTAAAACTGGCAATGGAAACTACTTTTCGAGATTCTTGTGTGCTCGCTTTATTTTTTTTCTTTCAAATTACTTTTCATGTAATTGCATTGTCTAAAATATTTTGATTTCATTTTGCTAGCCTACACAAGAAGGATCATGGAATCACGAAGCATATTTACTATTTCCTGTTCATTTGGATGGAACATTACTGGACAATTCCACAGCTATGATTGCTAGAAAGGGATTTTTTTCTGCCTCAGATGTTCTTCAAATATTTCGGCAGATGAGTAAATGATTCTTATGTTTTTTAACTATTTGATGCCATTCCTTTTGAAATGCATTTTTAAGGGCCTGAAATAGCATTCTCAGTAATATGACACTGATTAGCAGCGGATTTGATGCATTTATTTATACCTAAACATCTGGCTTCTGTGTTCCAGTGTTTGCTCTTTTTGTGTACTAGAATTTCTGTTAATAGTGTTTTCTATTTTCTGATTTCACTGATGTCACAACTTATAAAAAGTGGCTAGAAGCATTTTGACTGGACCAAATTGTTTCCACAGCTGTGTGAAGGACTCAAACATATGCACAATTTTGAGCCTCCATATGCACATAATGATGTCAAGCCTGCTAATATTCTTTTATCCCAAAGAAAAGGGAAAAATGGCCTCTTGCTATATTGATGGATTTTGGGAGTTCCCGTCCTTCCAGGAATCAAATTCGCTCCCGTTCAGAGGCACTACAGCTTCAGGTGTTTGTTTCTTCTTTATGTTTCTTCTTATGTTTCTGTGCTTACAACTTCTTTCTTGTCTTTTCTTAAAAATAACCACCCAAGGTCTTCTAGTTCCTTAAATATGTACGCTTGATATTCTACTTCTATAAAAAAAGACGTGTTCTTTTTAAACACATAAAAATTATGTATAAATACATTATTGGCTTATTTATATGATGCATTTACCTTTTCATATAATTAAAATATGTGAAGAATATTTTTTTCTTGCTAATAATCCATATGTAGGAATGGGCATCTGAGCACTGTTCAGAACCTTTCCGAGCCCCTGAATTGTGGGATTGCCCCAGTGATGCATATATTGATGAAAGAACTGATATTTGGTCGTTGGGCTGCACTTTATATGCAATAATGTAAGATTTAACGCTTATACATGCACAAATACAGTCTTAGTTATCATATGGTTAGCCTTTTTTGTTGTTGCAATCTCATTTCAGTATTGTTCATTTTTTTTGACAAACAATATGGTAAACAAAGTATTTGGGAAATCTTATAGCTGACTATTTTTATTTGTTTCCTTCTGTCTTAAACCAAGGATTACATTTTAAGTATTTGATGTGAAAGTTCTATAATACAAAAAACAGTGCATATTCTTTTTTCTTTATGAAGTTTTCTGTTGGCATTGATATGAAGAGTGATGATTCTATGTAACCTGATTGATTGTGATTCGGCACTTGACAAGTTGATGAATTTATATGCTAATCATTATTTGCCAAATTGATAACATGTACTTTATGTTGAGCAATGCTAATAAATTGACAATATTGTACACAGTAGTATGACAGAGGGTTGGTCTACTAGGTTGTTTTTTTATGATGCTTGTGATAAAACTTTCTTTTAGGAGTTTCATATCCTTCCCGAAATTCCTCGAATGAAAGGACTCTTAATGAAGTTTCATCATGTCAGGTTACACTGTTCTGTCGATACCTTCATTTATGCTTTTGTCGTCCGCGGTAAACCATTTCAGTTTACGTAGTTAGCAGCTTTAATTTAGCTGCTTAAGTTATTAATTTTCATTTATTCTAGGTATGGTGTATCCCAATTTGAGTATGCACTTGGAGAATCGGAGGAAGCCTGCCATTGGCTATTGTAAATGCACAGATTAAGTGGCCAGACTCAAGCTACTCTTCGCCCTCGCATAGACGATATTTTAATTCATGTCGACAAGTTGGTCTCAAAGTTTCCACTGTGAGGTTAAAAGGAAAGGGCATCCATTCGGTGATGTACAAGTTGACCAAATGAGCACAGATCCATCAATTTGCATCATAATTGAAAGCATCTATGTAAGCATTTGGAGTTCCTTATTAAAACTTAGATAGATAATCCTTTTTGGTGAAGTTGTGCATTAATTTGTTTTCCACATTTATTTAACTTCATGATCAGTAATTTGTTGGATCCCAGATTCAAATTTTATAGGAAAGCCTCGATAATTCCTGCTATCCATTCAGTGCATATTTTAGGTATCTCAGTTTCTTTTATTTGCAGACAGACCTATGTTAATAAACCATGCCTATTTCAAGGTTTTCTTATCAGTTATTTTGTTCTGCAAAATGTTTAAAGTACTTAGAAATGTGAACCTATGTTGCTCGAACTTGTCGTTTTCCTTGAAGCACTCTTATTTGACACATATCCAGACACTAGTATTGAATACAATCTGAATAACTTTTACCAGATTAATATGCTCATGTTTGACACATCCAGGGATGGACTTATTGATAATTTGTTTTTCTCCTCTTGAAACTTTATAGTTCGTCTCCCCAAATATAAATTCATGTGTTTGTCGTTGAACACATCCAAATCTGAGTAATATCGATTTGAAATAGTCCAGTGTGCTTTTTGTCAACCATCTCACCACTTTGGAAGCATAAACGTTGTTGGATTTTGATTGGTTGGACGGAATAATTTAGAATTAAGCAGAGGAATATTTTCATAGTTATGAGAAAAATGAGTAGCTGCATGTGGTCCATTCTCTTTATTACTACATCATGGTTTTATGCACAATACTGAGAATAAGTCAATATCAAGAACAATCCAGACAAAGCTTCATCCTAGCTCATGGCAGCTGAAGGGTTTTCTTTATATCAACTTAGATTTTACTCCAGATTCGTGTTAGTTTCAAGATAGTTATCGCATGACGATGATTTCAAAACCATCTGAAGCCTTTGCTTTTATTAGAAAAAAAAAACTCAAAATTGAAACAAAGAAAGAAGATTATAGATAATGAAATTTAGGATTAGAATCATTTCAAACTTTGGGTAAGTTAATTTTATGAGCAGCTTAATGCACATTTGTTGTTTGTGTTATGAGGAGAGAGATTCTGGGGGAAAAAGAGGTGTGAACCCCACAGAGAAGAGGCTCATTCTTGCAATGCCACCTAAAACAAAAAGATGGCAGCCACAAGATCCATTTGTATCAACTTTGTACCGCTCAAAATACATCGCACTTTTCACTTTTTGGATTCTCAACTCCCTTTTCTCCTTTCTCACTTACAGTATCAAACTCCACCTTCCCTTGTTCAATCTTCAAGGATGCTGTTTTTCAACATGTACAAAACCCATATTTTAACATCATTTACTGTTAAAATCCATCACTTGAGATGCTTATTATGCCCTATTGTATTAAAAAAAACCCATTAATTATTTTTGGAAAAATAACCCCCAATCACATTTGTTAGAAAAATAACCCTTAAACTATCCACGTAGGACTACCTCGGATCCTATAAAACTTGTTTAATGAACCTCATATTTTATAGGGCGTGAGATCCATCAACTTTTTCAGATTAATATTGGATAAATGTAATAATAAATGTATGAAACTCACTTTTCGTAAAACGTAAGACCTGACCTCGCTTTTTACAGACACACGAGGTCATCTTATGTAACAGTTTGGAGGTTATTTTTTTAATAAATCTGATTGAGGGTTATTTCTCTAAAAAAATTAATGGAGGGTTTTTAATATAATAATGCCTACTTATTATCCCTATAAATCTCAGGTTCAAGCACATCATCTACAGAGATATTTATTATAAAATGATTTAGAGTTTTTCGAATATATATTACCTTATAATTAGCTTATACTAATTAAAAAAAATATCAAGTATCGAAATTTTATAACTAAAATCACTTTTTCCCATGAACATAGTTGAGTGTGAGTGTGAGTGTGAGTGTGAGTGTGAGTGTGAATCTTTTGGCTTTGAAATCACGTGCAACTTTGCTGGAAAAGAGCAAACTTGTGGCTAAAATCCATAGAAAGTTCATTAAGCTTTTTTTTTTTTTAATTAACAATCTGTTTCTTCCAATACACAGTTTAAAACATTTGAACTTCATCACTTGAAATACTATAAATACTTGATATACATTCACTGGTTGAAAATCACTCAAGATTTTCCCTATTTCCATAACTATCAACTTGTTTACTTTTCAGTGTCAGGATATTTCTTTTCACTTTTTTTTTTTTTGACAAACAGTCTCAGGATATTTCAAACGTTGCAAAATTCACCCTTTTCCTCACATGTTTCAACCCGACATGACACGAGCATGTTGAAAGAGAATTCTGGTGAAGATGGTTACCTTAACAATTGGATTCATTCTTGCGACTCATGCCAATCAGCTGCCTGCACACTCTTTTGTCACACCGATTCGGCTTACCTTTGTGATGGCTGCGATAAGCGTATCCATGTTGGCAATCCTTCGGCCTTGTTGCACCACCGTGTGTGGATTTGCGCAGCCTGCGAGACGGCTCCAGCTGCTGTCACCTGCAGCGCGGACGCAGCATCTCTTTGCATCGATTGTGACATCCAAATACACTCGGTGAACGCTTTGGCTCGCCGCCATACTAGGGTCCCTGTATCTCCACTGCCGGCTCTAACATGTTCGTCCTCAAGTGTTCAACATGATCAGCTGCCATGCACGATGTTCGAAGCCCCTACTGCTGAACCAAGTCAAGAAATCCACGAAGATGAAACGGATTCTTGGTTATTGCTTGAACTTGAGAACACTGACAACCAGACCATGAGTGGATTCACCTATGGTGAACAACATGAGGAGTATGTCGACGTCGTCGATACATGTACCCAATCGTACGACGAACAATGGTCAATCGATCAGCAGCAACTCGTGTGCTTGAATTATCCAGAAGATAGTGGAAACGATAGTGTTGTTCCAGTTTAAACTACTAATAATCAACCATTGCAGGAACAGAGCATCCACTTCAATTCAGACAATAGGGGATCAAAACCTGCATTCACCAATCTCCCTTCAAGCAGTCTAAGCGTAAGATCCTACAACTTTACATGTGTTTTATGAAAGAAACTTGTGATTTGTCTAATTTTGAAAAAGAAAACCCAATTTTGATTCATTGTTCTACTTGTAAATGATTTTTAAGCTTTACCCAGAGTTCATTAATGGTGGTGGTTGTTGAAAATGTTGTTGTTGTTGGGGTGAAACATACTCAGGGAGCTCAACCACACCAAACTAATGGCATATATCATATATATGCAAGTCCATTCCATTACTCCAAAGCTCTCTGAAGTTTCTCACAATCCAAACACAGCATCAGAATTCAAAGATCATTGTAGTTTCCGAATTACTTTTCTTTCTTTCCCAGAATTCAACATTTTCTTTCGTCTTAAGCCTTTTAAATGTATTCATTTAGGTCCCCGTGCCAATGTTCATTGCCGGCATCCCGAACTCATACACTAGATTTCCAGCAACAACAACTGAAATCTTCCCAAATCCTTTGCTTCTAATGCCACTGCGATCGGCGAATAGGGAAGAAAAGGTTCTAAGATATAGAGAGAAGAGGAAGGCAAGAAAATTTGAGAATAAAATCAGGTATGCATCAAGGAAAGCTTATGCAGAGACTAGACCTCGTATCAAAGGCAGATTTGCAAGGAAAACAAGTATGGGGATTGATGATGATCACATGTTTTCCAAGGATGGTTATGGATATGGTGTTGTTCCATCATTATGAACAATTATAATGATAAAACAAACCATTTTTTGCTATATTTATATCGGATTTAGAGTGTGTATTACAAGTTTATGATCTATGCTTTTAAAATATAAATTAGTGTGGACTCTATGAATGATATCAATGTTAGGTTTGTGCTTTTGTGAGTCTTATAAATGGATCAATATCTTTGGAAATCTATTATTTGACGCATGATTTCTATCTCTTTATTTGTCTACAAAAGTTTTCATTATATAAAAAAATTAGCTAACCCTATTCCCATATGTAATGGGATAAGGGGAGGTAGGGTAGTAGGCTAGCCCCCAACATCAGGTTGAGAGCAGCTTCCGTGGAAGACCTCCGTTATGAATTGCCCTAAGTGGGACTCGATCACATGACCACAAGATTAAGAGCCTTGCGCTCTACCAACTGAGCTAGATGGGCAATTCATGCTTCGTCTTCCAAAGAAACCGAACAATTATCGATAATTTCACTTTCTCTACTCAAAACTAGACGAGATATTGACGTAGACATAAAGATTGAGAGAATAAATTTAGCAGATTGCTCTGTAAATGATTCTGAATATATCGATAAATTATCGCAAAAGAGAATCTAACTATACGACACCGTCAACATTTTCTGATCAGGAGGTGTGTCGTGATGAATGCAACACGAAATGTCAAGATATCATAGAGATTCAAAATTGTACCATAAAAACAAACAAATAACTATGCCATAAAAATAGACAAACAATTGTGTTAAGAAAATAAAATTGAATACTTCAAGAATATACAAAAAAAAATCAAAACAAGAATGATACTTATTTAAATCTAAATAAAAAGAAGAAGCAACACTCTAAAAGAGTCACTTTATAAGGAAAACTAGAACAACCTTTAAAGATCTAAGATTGTCACGAATTTAGGAATAATTTTTGAAATTAAAAAGTTGATTGAAGAAAGGGTTTTAGAAGAGATGAAGATTTTAGAGAAAAGAACTTCAAATTCATTCATAAAAAATGATCCCATAGGGTTGAGTACAACATTATATATTCACATGTACCAACATATGTGAATTGTACTACAAATATAGCAATCGTAATGGTTCTTTTGATGATTCATGCATGTGTTATTCTTGTGGGCCGTATCCAATTGAAGCCCAATATTCTTCATTTATGGAGCTGCTTCCTTCATTAATTTCGCACATGCTTGGGACTCAATATTGCCAGCCCAATCATCCATAAAATCTCCCATTGACCGCTCCTTATTAGATCCCCTTTCTACAAATGGTTGTCCCTTGTTCCCATATGTAATGAGATAAGAGGAGGTAAGATAGTAGGCTGCCCCCAACACTAAGTTGAGAGCAGCTTCATAGGATACCTCCCAATTATGAATTCCCAAATTTAATTCAATCTCTAGTTGCTAGCGCTTTTCCCCCAATTTCTCCTTTTCAAACCCTAATCTGACTTCCATCGTGACAATACCCCTCCTCCAGATGATCCTTGACCCCAGGATCGAAATTGGGGAATTGCTTTTTCAGCACTGTGTAATCTTCTCAAGTGGCGTCTTCAGTGCCCATATTTGTCCACTGGATGAGAAGCTGGGTCACCGGCTTGTTCTGACGTTTAATCATCATTTTGTTCAAAACGATGGCCGGATAAACTTTTAATTGTCCATCCACAGCAACTTCTAGTGGATCTATAGAGGTAACACCTTGTTTTCCTACCTTATTTTTCAACAGACTGATGTGAAAAACTAGGTGTACTTTTTTTTTACTTTTCTGGTAGTTGAAGTTTAAAAGCAATTTTTTTTTCGATTCTCTGTCAAATCTTGTAGGGACCAAAATAACTTGCAACAAGCTTTTGGTTCTTTCTTAAGGCAAGCGAAGTTTGGCGATATGGTTGGGGCTTTAGGTAAACTTATTTTCCTTCCTCGAATCCTCTCTCAGTTCCATGTCTATAAGCTATTTGCTTTATTCGATTGCTAGCATGTTGTAATTGGTCACGTAATAGTACATTTAATTGCTCCATTTGTTGCTTGATTTCTTGTACTGCTGCTACCCAAGTGTCACTGGACCATGATAGAGTAGGGGATTTGTAGCCATAAAGTTCCTCAAACAGTGTCATCCCCAACACTATGTGATAGATAGTGTTATACCACCACTCAACATGTGCTAAGGATTTTGCTCATGAAGTATGTTTTAGGAAACACATGCATCTTAGATACTGCTCAAGACACTGGTTAAGCCTTTCTAACTACCCATCTGTTTCTGGGTGGTATGGTACGCTGAAAAATATACTTTTTCCCATTTTCTTCATCAACTCTTGCCAAAAAAGACTTGTGAAGGACTTGTTCCGATCAGAAATAACAATTTTAGTTGGTCCATGTAGCTTGTAAACCTGCTCCAAATAAATTCTAGCAACATCTAGAACTATCTAAGGGTGAGCTAAAGGCTTAAAATGAGCATACTTAGTAAATTTATCTATGACCACTAAGATGCCATTGTACTTCGATGAAGGAAGAAGTACTTAAATGAATTCTACAGTGATGACTTCCCAAGTATTTTAATGATCTGGAATAGGTTGTAGTAAACCCAACTTGGGTATATGCTTAATTTTTGTTCTCTGACACACATCACATTGTTGCATATGTAGTTGAATCATTGACTTCATCTTTGGCCAGAAAAAAATAAGATTTGACCCTTTGATATGTTTATTGAATTCCTAAATGTCCCCCTTGAGTGGAGTCATGAAAAGCTGAAATAAATTTTGCTCGAAGATCTCCAATCTCCCTAGATATACCCTGTTTTGAAAATACAAAACACATATAGTCAATTTCTAATCATGCTCCTGACTTGGTGAATTATCAATATTGAAAGTTTTTTCTTGAGCTATGTATTCAGACTCATAGTTATATTCCATTTCTTGAACCCAAGTAGGTGTAGTGACTGTACCCTCATTTTGCCAACTCCCCCAAATCTAACTTTTGTATTGAGAGTGCATCAACCACTCGATTTTTTTTCTTCTTATGTATCGTACTATATAGTCCAGCCGTAACAGTTTGGTGGGACCTTTTTTTCTAAATTACTGTTGTTAAATTTTGTTCTAGCAAATGTTTTAAAGGTTCGTGGTTTGTATTAATAACAAAAGTACCACTCTCCAAATAGTGTCTCTAGTGTGATACTGCCATCAAAATGGCCAAATATTTTTTCTCATAGATAGAAAGCTCTGCATGTTTAGAGCCAAGGGCTTTGTTGAGATAGACTATTGGTCTCCCTACTTGAGATAGTACAACTCTAATGCCTTTAAAACTAGCATCAATCTCCGATTTTTTTAGCCTATAATTAGGAAGAGCCAAAATTCGTGCTTGGCACATCCTTTGTTTCAAATCTTCAAAGGTTGCTTGAGGTTCAAGTTGCCACTGAAAATTTACCTTCTTGAGCATATTTGTCAAGGGTTTACTCAATTTACCATACCCTTTTATGAAATTTCTATAGTAGCATGTTAATCCCAAAAATCTCCTCAAGACTTTCAAATTCTTAGGTAAAAGCCAATCCTGCATAGCTTTGATTTTTACTAGATCAATAGCTTGGTTTAAAAAAACACCCATCAGGCGCGCCTGATGCGTGATGCGGCCGTTGTGATGGTCAAAGCGCATCTGGCAGCCTGATGCGGTAGGGGGTACATAATGCGGTCTGATGCGGGCCGATGCGTTTAGTAAAAAAAAATTTGTTTTTTATTTGAACTTCCTCATAAGCTTTTGGGATGACTTCCTCTCGAGCCTTATGTATTTACACTCTTCATCTTCTACTTCCTCACGTTTCTTCTTCTACTTCCTCACATTTCCTCTTCCCATCGCTTTTGATCACCATAGTATTCTTATCTTCAACAGTAACCTGAAAATCAGACCGAAAAGAATTAATGTCAGCCAAACAAGAAAAAGAAATCAAAATACCCTGATGACAGTTGTTTTGGTTTCATATCTATTACCTGGATATCAGACTTGGATAAACCCGGAACATGTAAATAGAAAACGTTCTCCTTGGGAGTGTCTAAAATGTCGGCCGGTATACTACTGATTCCTTTGTTCCCGTTCTCACGACTGTCATGAGTCCGTGAAGGGAACATTATTTTTCCGATGTTTTCTGGGAAATTAAATCAATGGGTGATTGTGTCTGCAACTGCGCTCATTTTTTTGGACGTTGTTGCAGGGAGAAATAAGAAGAAGAGCAAATCTCTAGTGTCAATACAAAAAATACTTGTAAACGTACAACTCTATGCTTGAGGGAAGCAAAGTATATAGAAGTAGAAGAAAACTCTAGATAAATCTCAAATAATTTGGAGCCTTCTTGTTTCCTTACACGTATAATATAGATGCTGCCATGTAACCTACTTAAGCTATCGTTTCCTTTCCCATTTCTTGCATTGGGTTGATCCATTCCTCTTTATTTGGGCTTCTATCTCTTTTCCCTAATCATAGATTTGGAGCTTCAATAATCATCGCCGTAATAAACAAGTCCAAAACCTGAAACTAACAACAGCTACAGGTAATATGGGGCTTTTAGTGGGAAACATATGGAGCTTCGGCTCCTAACTTGCAAAAGTTTGCCATACGAGTTCTTAGTCTTACTTGTAGTGCCACAAGTTGTGAAAGAATTTTGGGTGTTTTTCAACACGTAAGTGTATATATATCCTAATTTCGTACTTTAATTAAAATATATTATCAATTAACATACACTTTAATTTTTAATTGCTTCACACCAAGAAGCGCAATAGGTTGGCACAAGAAAGATTGAATGATATGGTTTATGTTAAATTCAACCATTCATTGCAACGCTGAAAGGGTTGATCCTATTGCTTTGGATGATATTGATGAAAGTAATGAATGGTTGATGGGTAGAATGGAAAATGATGAAGATGAAGAAGATTTGGTGTTTCTTGATGATGATCTTATATAGGATGCGGTGGGTAGAGCTTTCGGGGCTAATGAGCCAAGTCATTTCACTAGAGGATTAAGAA